GATTTTGAAGCTATTTTATGAGCTAGAAGATTTTTACTTGAGATAAGCCAAAAATGTCCTAGAAACGTACTACAAATTTGCCGTAAATGGTAATTTCAGGACCATCAAAAGTTTTCCTTGCCCGTACCTTTCCTCATTGCAAACATGAGGCGGAAATGATTTCTACATATGTTCTTTCAGATGTCCTGAAATGCACCACAAAGTCTTCTGAAACATGAACTCTTTGCCGTACCGAAATGTAGCCATATTGAGTCATTTCAGGTTCATTTCAGGCTACACAAAAATTATCATTTTCCTGCACCGCAAATGGCTACGAAAGTGGTGGCAAATCTATCATTTTAGGACACCAGAAAGCCCCGGTTAAGTCTCTTGAAAATGAAACATTTTTGATGGCTTGACCGGGACATTTCAGGTGATCTGAAATCAGCTCATGCCCGTAGTGCAAGGCATGTCGAGCAGTAAAACAATAAGAGACAGACACGGCATCGACGACTTGGTCGGAAATGAATAAGACGGAGGAGCTACACCGCCAACTTGCACTCGGAGAGCAGACAGACGGGCGCTTCGGGGGTGAGCCACATGTGCATGCGGGTGCATCGCAGACGTCAGACATTCATGGTGCAGGTGTCTCATTTGTCTGCGTTCCGTATGTTTAGTACATGTGTTACATATTCAACACACATGCAATGCAAATGAGTTTTCGGGAGCGGGAGGGCTGCGGCAGGCGTTTATTATGGGCCCTCTCTTTCGTGGAATTCATCGGTGTTTCGCAACTGTCGGCTATCTTTCCCATATATTTTGAGGCTTCGCAAAGTGAGCTTGTGCAGGGGTTGACAATTATCATTTTCCAGAAGCTTTATCTATCTAATAGGTCTAAATAAGTCGTTTGCGTTTGCGGGGGTGCTCAGACTCAGGCTCTTCGGCTGCACTCTCAGCCTCGCCGGAACGTTCGAAGCTGTCCTCGGGAGCGTCCGATGACTCTGCTTCACTGCCGCAAGCCTCAGCTACTTGTTTTGTACGTGCTTCGCTTTGTGCTCCTCTCCGTGATGGTCCACTTGTCTTTGTTTTCTTCTGCCTCTTCTCCTTCGCTGCTTCTCTCTTGGTGTTATTTGTCTGACGGAGCCGCCGCGCTTGCTCGAGATGTTTTGCAGAGCGATTCGGAAATAGGAGCCGATGAGCTGTCAGGTGTCGGGGGAGCACTTGACGAACGAGATGGGCATTATGAAATGATGTCATGTTGATGATAAACTGGTCGCACTGGCCCTGCTTGTGAACGAAGACAGCTTCAGTGCGTCCAGATTCCTCTCGCTCTTGAAGAACAGCACGACGGCTAGACACACCGCAGCCGGCGTGAGCACAGTCATGCTGGGTGTTCACCGCAAACTTCACGTCCTGCTCGTTCAAGTTTAGTCAGATCGGCTCACTGGATGATATTATAGCCTCGTACCTTTGCGGCAAGGATTAAGTATGATTCCCCAAATGACGAGACAAGGTAGGGCATTTTGAATGTCTCGTGGCGCACCGCAGCAACCTTGAACTGCTCAAGCACGATGAGAGTTCGAGTGCTGTTTGTAGCCTCAATCAGGATCTCAGCTACTCGTCCGACAACCGACTGGTTATTCTGTGGACGAGAACCAGTCAGACAGCTGGTGTAAGAAGATACTGTGTAATCGCCTTGTATAACTCACATCTGAAGGTGACCGTGCAAAGACCCATGTTCCGTTGGTGCATACCTCTTTGCTCTGCGACACAAACGAGCGTCCTTCTGCCCATTGCGAGGATCTGCTGTCACTAAAGGCACCAATATTGCCTGCAGAAGCGGCCTTCGTCTGTGAGAGAGAACACGTAGGACGAGTTTTCTGGCCGCGTTTCAGTGGTACAGATAGCACAGAACCTTAGCATCACGTCAGAAATCGCACATCAATTGAGCACGAAGTACGAGCTGTAATAACTCACCAGGAATCTGTGCAGTATGTGATGTCCAGCCAAGCAGGCGCTGGAGAATCGGCTGATTGGTCAAATAATCTCGGATTCCGAGGCCCGCGTTTGTCCAAGCATTCGGAGAGTCAGCACTGTCTGTCGGCCAGTAGCCACCTGTGACGCAGTGTTTCAGTGACTCTTGGGCCGCTAATTGCAGAGCAATATCACGGCTCGGAGCACGGTGGTTAGAGTGGATCGAGCAATACCGGAATACCGCATTGAAGCTTTCAAAAACCTCGGTCGAAAGCCCCACCAGAGGCCCGAATCGCAGGATGTCGTATCGATCATGAGTTTGAAGATGAATCTTTATCTTCTGGACAATCTTGCTGGGGTCAATCTCCGCAAACAGATCAAGAACGTTGGCAATGGCAATATCAAGGTCGTCCTGTGGATGATGGGCATCAGCCTAGTCGGCATGCTAGCTGTGAGAGAACAAGACATTACATACCAAGTATTCGTCCATGTTGTAAATCTCAGAATGCCACAGCAATGCGGACAGCTCTCCGACGGCAACCCACAGCTGAAAGTAGAGTGGCGGCACAAGATCACGCACATGAAACACGATCGTCTGTGCTATCGTCTTGAGCTGACGGCCGATAAGTGAGTTTGCGTACTGCAAAATATAGCCTGCACGAATCGCAGGAATAGAGAGCCCATTGACATCGGTCGCCTGCAGTCGTAGAGCGTATTGATCCTTCGTGCTTGAATTCCAGGCTGTGTGAGTGCCATGCCAGGTATATTTGACTAGTCCTAGCAGAATTGTATGCAGAATTTCGATTGGCGTGTCCTTGGTCGGATCGAAGCCCGGCATGGTGTAGAACGGAGTGAGTATGGTGGACCAGTTGTCGGAAACCCACTGAGTCAGCTCTTCTTGGATAGACTCTTTCGAGCGAGATGGGCTGCTTTTCTTCATCGAGCGAGCACGTTCGAGAATGTTGTCGATCCAGTGCTGAGTGTATGCGTCCTTGACTCCAGTCTTGGTCTGCAGGTCCTTGACATGCTGCGCGACCCCGTGACATGCTGTGTTAACCTGCTGCTTCAAGGCAAGAACTACGTCGTCCTTGGTGCGTGGAGTTCCGGGGTTGAAGAGGCTTTCAAAGCCGCAGTCGCTCTCTTTGTGCTTGTCTGTACCACCAGCGTCACACTTACGACAGAATAAATTTCCTCCACCTCCGATATGTGCAGAGGTTTCGCTTTGCATGGGATTATCAGAGGGTTCAGCATTGACATAGACCCGAAATCGAACAGTCTGTCCACTTAAGCCATCGCGAACCTGAACTGGCTTGGTGTGGGTTGACTCAACAGCCTCTTTAAACTTCCCAAACTGCTCTGTAATGCTGGCATGCGGAGACGTCGAAATGAAGTGCGTGTGAAATTCCTGCTGGAGCATCTTGCGGGGAAGGTTCCGGTGGGTGATATAGGCGTTCCAGTGCTTGTTCCAAGACTTGGAGCGATTACCGGAGACATCATCGCCAAAATAGTCGATGTAGCTAGTGTAGAGAGGGTCTCCCTGAGCAATGTTGCGCAGAGGATTGGGCATCTTCTTGCCATATCCCCAGGACTGAGCATGTTCTGCACGATAAAAAGGGGGTTAGCAGAGCTAGAAAGATGATGGAGTGCTGTAATATACCGTCCCATGCGGCAGGAAGCCTGTCATCAAGTTCCAAGAAATTCTTGGACAGATCATTGGCTGCAACAACAATCTCTTCGCTATCACGCACGGAAGCAATGCCCTAAATGCAAGTCAATATCACCCGATAGAGTGAGACATTCAAAACAAGCAAACCTCTACATTGACTATGACCGAAAACGCATCTGCGTGAACTTGACCGCGGCGAATGAACCATCGAATTGGTATCACGAGCTGCCCATCATGCAGCTCAGCTAGTTCATTCACATAGTAATGCCGACCGCTGCCTGCATCCCACATAGGGCTCAGTGCATCGGGGTCCATTTCCTGGCGCCATTTCAGGCCGTGCCATACCTCTGAGACAGGCCCATCGGGCTCTTCAGGATATACATGAATATATGGGCGAATTTGTGGATTTGACCAATCCTAAGGGCAGTCTCAGTGCGTTATACTTATGGACAGCTAAATCTCAACTCACCTTAGCAATTATGCTGCAAGGGTCATTCATATAGAATATATTACCCAAAGCTGACTCGCACCGCAAAGTCGGGACGCCGTTTTGCTTGCGGAGAGCTATTTGAACTTTGCGCAGATGCGCAAAGCTTGGAACATCACGCGCACCAGTTTCTTTCAGTATCCATAGAAAAACTCGCATTAGAGAGTCGGACACAGGCAGGCGTGGTAGATTGCCCAGAAGGTCTAGCAAGAACATCTGCAAATATACTTGTGAGCATGACAAGCTACCGAGCAAGTTATTAAATTTACCGTTCTTGAATCATATGGCGCCCACTGTCTGTTGGACGAAGAAGTGTCTGCGCTCATATGCTCGAAGACAGGGCCTTCATTTTGACCATCATCGAGCTCTGTTAATCACAGGGTGCACAGCCAGTTATGTTTATTAGAGCAGAGCACAGATCATATTGCACCTACTGATGTCACCGAGAATTTCGGCCAACCAGTCATCCTCTGCACTTTCTCGTGCCCAATCCTCTGACAGCTCGAAGTCCCTGAGCTCTCGCTCCCAATGGTGCTCAGCGCGCGCTGCAAGAGCTTCAGGGCCCTGTCCGGCACCAAAGGTGAAGCGATCTGCATCGGCGTCGAATGATTCCCACATTCGAGCTTCCTCTGCACCACCTCCCTGACCGTCAGGTATGCCTGCCTGCACAATGTTAACAGCACGAAGATGTATCGTTTGTGTCGTTGCAAGATCTTCCCTCTGGAGACGTTGGTTTATGGCTGTGGCTCTTGCTTGGTGCTGAGCATAATCTTCGGCACAAGTGTGATGGGCCTGAGTTTTAAGGTGAGCAGCAATGCTTCCTCTTGCCATGGTCTGACCCCCTTCGTTGGGATGACAGAGACTGCACCGAGCCTTCTTTCCATCCTCAGACAAATCGATAACTGCGGCACGTCAAACAGTGAGTAAGCAATATTTCTGTATTTTCTTTTTGGCAAGGCAGGCCGCTCACATCCTGGAAGTGACTTCGCAGCTGGAGCCATGACAGTCAAATATCAGTGCAATTGGTGAGGACAATATTTTGCATTCCTGAAGAGGAGTCATCGTCACCGAGATGTCTTGGACAGTCTGCGGGACCTGAATTTTGATCAAGACCTGTGCATGGATTGGTGGCCTCAGAACCTGACCCAAACCACATCCCCCACAGCTCTCATGGCACCCACACTAAGCACCCTCGACGACGAATTTGCTGAATTTGCTGAGAGAGGCCCCGGCTCGGTACACTTGTCTCCTGATCTGACTGCCATAACTGGAAAACGGCGCGAACGAGATGATGATGAGTACAGCGGTGACGACCTCAGCAATGACCCTCTTCACCTTGATCAATCTGTTCCTGACTCCCGATCCACCACTGTGCCTCCTGACCCAGCCTCGACAAGAATTCAACCCAACCGAAACTACATTGAGTACGCGAAGCAGCTGGGCGCTAGAAAACGACTTCGCGCAGAGAAGGTGGGAGAACTTGTGCAGTTCGTATCAGTGAGTCCTCACGTTCTGTAGTACGTGAGACAACTTCTCATATGTATCACAACAAGGACTCGCAAATCATTCGAGAAGCAAAGATATATGCCGCGCTGCTCGTCGCTCAACAGCGAGACGAAGATCAAAGTGTCGAGAAGGCTCCCTGGCAACCTTCAAAAGAGTTCAAGGTGTGTCTTTAAGAGCTCGCAAAGGTCCATACTATCTCAACCTGTCTGCCAATTGCAGACCAATGTCCGAGCATGGACATTGGGTGTCTTTCTGTCTCCATGCCTTCCGGCTTACAAGGGGGACATTGCTGTCAACAGAATGACGGTAAGCACTGAGCATCTTAAAGCAGATGCCATTTGACGCTGACGTTCCCAATTGAAGTCTGTCATCAAAAGAGAACGATCAGTCTTCGAGCTGCCTCCCAACAATGACAAGGACTTCGCCAAGTGGGGAACCATTACCGATGTCATTGAAGACATGAACACAGACATCCGCCGACGGTTCAAAGCCTATGTGAGTGTGCTCATGCAGCTCTTTTCGTTTTATTAAGGTCTTGTTGCTCTTGCAGTTCGAGCGAAGTGTTCAGGGCCCGAACACTGAGCACTGGACCATCTATGCGCTGACTCAAAAGATGTGTTGCATCTATACAACGAAAGGTACCAGCATGTGCAAGCCATCTGTTCCTTTGTGTGCACGAGCCGCGTTCCTCGTAAGTCTCCAACTTATCTTTCCTGATTTTTGTGCTCAACTGTCCTTGGCACCTCATCTGCGAAGCGCAAGTGCTTCATGAAAAACAGCCAGCGTGACTTTTGGGACAGCGTGGACGCGAACCTCCGCAGCTTGCGTGAGAAACTAGGAGGTGATGAGACGAAGATCAGCGAGTGCGTCACACTCTCATATAACTTTACTCCGTGCACCGCTGATCTTCATCGCAGCTATTTTCGTGACACATTGAAGGAGGATCGCCGCATTCATGGTGTAGAAAACATGGCAGAATCGGCTTCGCTCCCTCGGACCGCCAACGTGTGGCAACGGGAAATTGACGAGATTGTCAATAATGCCGATTAATGTAGTAGCAGCATGACCTCCGCATATATACCAAATAAATGACTAATTATCCACACATTGAACGCCTGATGTGCACGAAATTGTACGGCGGCGAGAGGAAATCCGGTTCAGAAATATTGGCTGACTTATGTGCGAACTGCTCATGTTACACGGAATCCGCACATATGTGTTGCGGACGTACGCTCGGGCGTGTTGCAGACGTGAACTCGTACGGTCCGAATGATGTCAGAATACTCCTGATTTTCAGACGCACTGACTCTGAGATCAGACGCACGGCTTCTGTTCCCCGCGAGCGCTTTTCACCTGGTCATCACCCGTGCGCAAGTTGGCGGTGTACCACTAAGGCATAAGACCTTGCAAATGTGAGGCTGGAATTGCCCTATAATACCACTGTTCTACCTCAAAGTCTTAGCTGTAATATTGTAGCCAATTATCAGGTATTAAAGCATTGGAATGTAATTGTACAAATGTATATCCTGATGGCGTGGCTAAGACACTGACGTGGCTAAGACACCAGTGTGGCTAAGACATTGAGTTATTAAATATTTGCTATTGATTCTGCTTATTGTACAAATGTATATCCTGATGGCGTGGCTAGAACATGTTATGATAGGCATGGTGGCGTGGGATTTCATTTCCTTTTTCGTCTCTGACTCTAGTTTAGTAGTACAGCCTTTATCGACTCATAGAGCGCAGCCCCACTGACTCACCCGCAGTTCCTTTGACTAGTAGACTAGCCCTTAGG